ACTGGCAGGTGTCAGTTACCTTAATCCTACTCGCTTTTCACCGTCTCGACCTTGCCAGTTGATTTTCTGGTCTGTCTAGGGCAAAGTAAAAAGTTACCATTTTTAGGCCATCAGTCAAAGGACTTTTGATCAGCTTTCGTTTACATGCGAACACAACCACATAGCTGAGCTAAATTTTAAAAATAAATATTCCAGAATATTCTGACCCTCCTTTCAAGCACTTTTTTGCTGTTAAGGCCTTTTCTCTCTGTTTCGTGCTTCGTCGGAAGGTTGCGCTGTGCCATCTGGCAGAATGGCACAAAAACAAGAAGTCTGGAGACCTCTACAAGGAGGATTGTTTTTGCTGTGATTATTTTCGTTGCTAAAGACATTGAAATCGAACAAAACACTGAGATGATCGGATAAATCGACGGAGTGATAAGCGAGGGTAAAGTTGACTATATTTGTGAAAATACGATCGAGGATGTTACCACGAATATGTGTTGACGAGGAAACACTTTGTTGCAAATCACCACAAATAATCATCTTCATACCACGGTAAATCCGAAGATTATCTGAAACAGCACTGATAAGATTCTGGGAGGTAATTCCGTAGTGACTGCCGATCGGCGGTGTGTAAACACATAAAACTGCAGTTTGAAAATTGACGAGAAACACACATGAAATAAAGTCCACACCCGTGGGGACAGTGACGTAAGCACATGTGTTTCTACAGATGTTAAGTGTGCCTCCATGTTCACCAGTACTTCTGTAAGAAAAAGCAGCAATATTGTAACTGCTTTCAAGAAAGATATTTGCAACAGGAGCTGCGTCGAACCATGTTTCTGTGACGCAAACTATGTCAGGATTTAACAAATTAACTCGCTTGATAAATGATTATGATGATGATGATGATTGGCTTTACCACTCTTTCTTGAACACAAGAGTGGTAGAAGGCTCACAAAGCCTCACAGAATAAAACAGTTTTCAGGGTAAATGATATAATTGATAAATGTTTAGTGAGAGATACAAGGCTTCTGGAATTTTGAAGGTAGAGTGACTGTGTGTAGTCAATCGGTGTCAATCTTGACTTCGGTTCCATCTACAAACAGTTTTAAATTTTTATTTCAAAACAGATATTCTTATTTACAAATTTTAAAACAAATTTCTCATTTACAAATTTTAAAACAAATATCTTTTTTACAAATATCATGAGAGTGTCAAAACATGAAAATACAAGCAAAAATTTCTGCATATGGAAATCCTCTGCCTCAGGGGTAAAAAAACTTAAAAATACATACAATGTAGACAATTCCATCAGCGCTATAATGGAGGAGGGTAGATTTTAATTGACAATTCTCTGGAATCTTCAAAATCGACTTGATTTATTCATAAAACGTTGCCGGTGTATATATATATATAGCGTTGTTATGGACCTATCCAACCTGTGCACGGACCGTCGCATGACAAGGGGACGTCTTAATTGACCGCTTTTTTTTTAAACTAACATTGTCCATGTCTTTGCCAAACCTTACACGAGGATTTTCTCCACTTGATTCAAGTAGTTATCTGAGTCTAACTACGTCAAATGTTTCGTTGGGGAGTTGCCGTATTTGCGGACTCTTTATAAGAGAATAATTTAAGATGGAGTAGACGAATGGGTGCTGACCAGAGTAAAGGAGATACATCAGCTGTCGGCGAAATCACTGTTGTAAACCAGCCATCGAGTGGAGCCACAATTGAATCAGACGAAGACTATGAGCGTATATCTAACCTACCTTCTTTCGAACCAATTCTAAGAACTCATATAATCGAAGAGGCAAAACTATCCCATATGGATCGTCTCAATCCTGTCAATTTGGCGAAAGTTGTGAACAGATGCAGTGTGCATTTAAATGACTGTGATTCTGTTCTTCTAGCATATCAGGTACTCAGCGTGTATAAGTTATAAGTTTTTTCAATTACGGTTAGCAAGTGTTATGAAACGGTGCGAGACTTTTCGGATCAATAGCGGTCGCAGCAGGTTTGGTCCCTGCCCCTGGAGGTTATTTGAGCATACTGCATTAAGTAGAAGCATCGACTCGTTATGGGTTATGATGAACAATTGGCTGCATTAAAAAGTTAAGATTATCGCAGCATCTGATTTTTTGGTACTACTATGATAGAGTGGTCCCGCGACCTTAAAATAGTGAGGGGGGGTTTACGAATGAAACATAAAATTTGTTTCAAAATATACTGCGAAATCTTTCTGAATGAACGCTTTAAACGATTTAATAGCTCTAGGTGTCTTATTCTCAAGGGACCTTGTTATTTTCAAGGGACCACTCTATCATAAAAGTACCGATTTTTTTTTTCATGTATACTCAAAATTATTCTTTCTTTTTAGAAGAACTTTCAGAAAAATTTAAAATGTTAGATAGATGTTTTGTGCACTGTTTCTTAACGCACCATTCGAACATTCTGTGATAGGTAGAGAGCATAGGACTTAAATAATAAAAGATTTGATTAAAAAAAACCTTTACTGAATAAAGTTTAAAAAAGATTTAAAACTGTTGCCCTCTTTTTTGTTCTTAAATGAATGAATACTAGGACCAGTAAAGCGGGGAAACACCGTCAATGAGTCGCCTGTCGCCTTCAAGTAGCCTTGGAATTCTTATAAGAAGAAGCGTACTAGAGTCCATTTATGAGACCCCTGATTGCCGATTTCAAGCCGACATTACAGCAGTAAATAAAAATGCGAGATTTTATAAAAATTGATGATAAATTGCTGAGCAAGATTCTCCGTATAGGCAAAAGTGACCCAGACAAAAATGTCACTCTTAAATTGTAAACCTGGAGAACCCTCTGAGCAAAGAATTGGTGATGAAGTCTGCCTTTCGATTGAGAACGTACGATCATGCTGTGTTCATCAGTCGAGAACTCTAGCCATCCGATTTTCTATCTTTCAATGTTTGAAGCTTTCTAAACCTTGATAGAAGAAGAGCTTCTCCAATTATCTATCAAGAACCAATTACGACACAATGTTTCTGTTCGAAACATGGCTCACTTTCGAAGTTGCAAACAATGCTCTCTATCTTCCAGTCTGCACAATTTACCTATAAGATCGCGAAACTGAAAATTTCAAATCGAAGCATGGAGAAGTTCTCAAAGCGGTAACAAATCAGCTCCCTCATGAAGAAGTCATACTTATAAATGATTTGCTTACGCTAAAATTATTTACAAACCCCAAGAAAATTTCATGTGTTTGGCAAGATAGAAATTTCTTAAAAGTTTTCACTCCTCTCAATTATTTCGTAGAAAAGCAACTAAGGTTTATGGCAGGGGCCAATTTTTGAAATTAACCATTTCATCCAGCATATGTAAAACAAGTAATAAAAATTTCAAACAGCTGCCTCCAAGTTTCAAGGGGCCCCTAGGTTTCTTTAGTTTTGGTTTCTTTAATGTTGTATTGCAAAGGGTCTGCAGTAATTTTTTTTACCTCAATCCGCACTAGTAGTCAAAAATTGATTGTCGAAAAATTTGCCGAAGAATAATTTCTTTTTTTAACCAAGCTAATTACAGTGAAAATGAAATCTTTTGAAGTTCTTCGCTCCTCCTTGGTCTCATTGATATCAATGTACAGACGCACAAAACATGGATTCAAAGCTGCTCAGAATTATTTCTAATGCTCTCTCTTTGGCTCTTATCGAAAAAAATGTTCATAATTTCAAAGCTTTAAACGGGCCATAAATAGTAGCTTGAAAATAAGTGCAAACAAAAATTAAAGTTGCAACCAGAAATGTGGTTTGCTTATCGAAATTTAAATTATTGGCAAAACTACGGAATTTGCACTGAACAGAAAAAATTGCAATTAGTTTTTTTTTACTGAAATGAATTGAGTTGGCTCTGTTCAGATTTTTTTTTAGTAGTTAAGATGATTTCTATTAGTTGTTTCTGCGTGGCTATGTAGTTATTTTTTGAATCTGTATCGGCATATTAGCACTAGGTTTGAAGTTATTACCTCCGTATTTATGATTGATAGGCGGAAAGTATCAAATGTCCATTTATAAGCAGGCGTTGATAACTAGAATTGTTGTTCATACTAACTAATATAAAACACATTTATAATGATGGCGTTTTTACTTTCCAGAAAGCTTCTATCGGCTAAATTATTTCTCTGAAGCTCGTGTGAGCCTACATCCTTCTTGGTGAGATGTTTTTGAATGTATCTTTGTTTCAGCACAAACTGGGTCTAAAAGTGAAAGAGTCAGAGCAGAAAGCCAAATTAGTGGCCAACCTGGTTCACGAAAGACAGAAAAAGATGCAGCGATCAACCTTGTCAATTCAGAAAATCGACACTGTTCAGAGTGATTTGAAGCGTCTGCTGGCAACATTTGAACAGATGGTGAAATTGTGTGATGAACTTAACATGGGCTTACCGGAGTCACAAAGACTGGAACCCTTCAATTTAACTGAACGAGCTTCTTTTCCATAATTTTTCTAGATATTGTATTTAGATCTTAAAATTTAATTTATGTTTGCTTCACTGATCTTTTTATGGAATAGTTATACCTTAAAAATGGAATTTTGACCACCTCAAAAATAGTTGTCACGCTGGTGCAATATCGACCAGCTTGACAGCTCAACTCTAACCTGTTGTAAGTTTACTTCTAAGGTAGCTATTGATAATACGAAGTTCTAAGGAAAAGTGAACCGACTTGGGGTTCCCTTCGCACTTGTAATGACACCAATGGAAATTCCCAGGGAATCTAATGTGTATTTATTACCCTTGCGTTAAGCAAGGGTATTAGAATCGGGTACTAGACTTTTTCCCATAAACAATTTTGTCCACAGGAGTTATTGTACTTCTGATGTACCATGGTTCATAATGAATTCAAGTTTTGTAGTGTCTCTTGCATACTTAGCCTGGTGTTAACGAATACGCCTGGGACGACAAAGGTCCCGGTTTGAATCTCACCAGGACCAGTTTTTTCAAACGGTGAATATTGCGGTTCAAGAAAATTTCGGCCTTTTTTTATTTGTCTGCTTATGTTTTGTCGGCTTAGTTGCCACATCTAAGAATCGTTTTTTTAATGCTGTGAACAATTTTCGCTGCAGTCTTTTTTAGCATTTTAAAAATCCGGCTGAATCGAAATTTGCTTTTCACAGGTTGTAATTTTTGCAGCTCGATTTATTAAAAGTTAACTTTTTTCATTTTTTTGTCTTTTTTATCGGCTTAATATTTTTTGGCTTGAATAATATCGACTTATTGGCTTCTTATTGCGTCGTTGTGATCGAAAAAAATGTACTCTGAGGGGACTTAACATTTTTTTAAGTTCAGAATTGTTTAAAATTTTTTCGGCATGAATGGTTTCTGCTCAGGTGTTTTTGGTTTTATTACCGCTTCCTAATTATAAATTAAAATCTAATCAGTCAGCCGGTGCATTTGGCGTAGAGATAAAACATCAGCTTGAGACAGCAAAGGCTTGTGGTTGGAGTCTGGCCGGGCCCTTTTTTGCAAACTAGAGTTTTTGTGCTTTTTCGGATTATCGTCCATAGTTTTGTCGTCTTGGTTCTCGTAGCTCGATGGCTCAGCATCATTCCAAGTTGCTGTAACCCCCATGATTGAGACGATAAAGTCCGGGAGTTCGATTACAGTTAAGACCTGTTTCCTGCTTTCGCAAGTTTCCTGTTTCCTTTTTTTAATTTTTTTTCTTCGTTTTTCAAGTCATTTTTCTTAGAAAATTGTTTTCTAATTGACCTATTTTTGATGGCTTGAAAATATTCCTAAGTTCTTTTTTAGTTCAGATCTTTTCATCACAACATGCAGAAAAAAACGACACCAGTTTGAATTTTTTTGTATTTTTTTTAAGACTGGTCGATACATTCTCTGCTACTTGCACTGTTACCGGTTATCCTTGTTTTTTTTATTTTTCTATTCTATTTGCTGAAATCGATTCACTTTTGACCGTCTCTTTTAGAAAGCTTGAAAGCAACCTCCTTGTCCCTCTTGGGAAAAAATACTGAAGACAATGTAATTTAAATAATTATTCTTTTCCTCACAGGTAACTTTTTTCGAAAACGTATTCGATACTTTTTGAATGAAATGCTGTATTTCTCAAAATCTTTTGTGATGAAAAAATTAACGCTTGCGATTAGCAGGCGTTATCAAATCGGAATATGGACTTTTTTGGTTCAACAACTAGTTGAATAGAATCGCTTGATTTATAATAGATTCACCTTTCTTGGCATCTGGGACCATTTGGCTTAGATGTTATGACTACTCCTGGAACTGTCTGTTTTGTCGACTTAGTGGTCACATCAGAATTTTTTATGCAGTAGGCATTTTTCATTGTAGTTGCAAGTATTTTTAAGAGTCGATGAACGTAGTGCAGGCTCATATATAGGTCGCGTTAACGAATTTTTTTCGCGGTTTGTTTTTTGATTTTTTTTTAGTTCAATTCATTCATTTTTTAATGAATGCAAACTCCATTTTTGAACAACGAAAGTAAAAATCACGAAAAACGTGATCGTTTTTTAACTTCGAAAATGGAATTTCCTAATCACATTTCCCAGCGAAATAAAAAAGTTTATCTATTGAACTAATTTTCTCAAATTGGGTTAATTTCATCAAAAAAGTGTGCATCGTAAATTTTTCTAGAACTTCAAAGAGCTTTAAATCCATCTATTGTTTTTCTCGCAAGTTATAAAGATTTTTTCAATAATTTTTTTTTGTTTAATTGCAATCACTTTTCAACTGTCTGTTGGCTATGTTTGCTTCACTGCTATAAGTTTACTTTTCCAGACTTTATATGTTTTACTCTTTTCTTTCGATTATATGCTTGTTTCGGCCCCTACCTCCGGAAACGAAAGTTCAAAATTCTTAGATTTTCAGAACGTGGGGTGAATACTAAAAACACCCTGGGCAATAGTTACTTTTCGTGACTGAGATTGGAAAATAAAATAATTTTTAAAATTGCAAATTGACCATTGTCACAACACTATGCTACTTGCTCAGCAACCTGTTGCTCTTATTTTTTGCGACCACTGAAAATGGGGAGGAACTTTCTGTTATGTTGTCTCAATTTTTTTCTTTTTGCGGCTTTTGTAATTACTGTAATGTTTTTCTCAAATTAAACATCTACGAAATAAAAATTGTGAAATTAGTTTTAGGTTTTTTTTTTCAGTTTGTTCTAAAATTTATGAAGGTAGTTCCTGTTTGATTTATTAAACAGGTATTATGAAAACGTTTTTTTTTTCCAGATGAGATCTGGTTTTTTTTTTTTTTTTAGACGCTCTTTCGAAAAATTCGCTTTCCCAAAAAACTACCCGTCAGATTCTCATAAAAGTGGTACCAATGGATTCAGTAGCGTTTCACCTACCTGCCTGCAGGAAATTTAGGGCAATTTTTACCCTACCCCACCCCCTACGGTCTTAGAAAAGCTTCACAACTCGGTACTTTTTTCACTTTTTGCCCATTTTTCGGAAATTTTCGATTTCCTCAAAAACTACCCGTCCAGATTTGGGATTAAGGGTTTAATCGATAGACCAGGTTGTAGGAAACTCCCATGCACAAGCGGCTGGTCCCTAATTTGCTTAGGGGAAGAGCTATAGACTTAGGAAAAGTCACTTCTTTGATTTTTTTGCCTATTTTTTCGGAAATTTTCGATTTCCTCAAAAACTACCCATCCAGATTTGGGATTAAGGGTTTAATCGATAGACCAGGTTGTAGGAAACTCCCATGCACAAGCGGCTGGTCCCTAATTTGCTTAGGGGAAGAGCTATAGACTTAGGAAACGTCACTTTTTTGATTTTTTTGCCTATTTTTTCGGAAATTTTCGATTTCCTCAAAAACTACCCGTCCAGATTTGGGATTAAGGGTTTAATCGATAGACCAGGTTGTAGGAAATTCCCATGCACAAGCGGCTGGTCCCTAATTTGCTTAGGGGAAGAGCTATAGACTTAGGAAAAGTCACTTTTTTGATTTTTTTGCCTATTTTTTCGGAAATTATCGATTTCCTCAAAAACTACCCGTCCAGATTTGGGATTAAGGGTTTAATCGATAGACCAGGTTGTAGGAACCCCCCTACACAAACGGCTCGTCCCTAATTTGTCTAGGGGAAGGGCTATACACTTAGGAATAGTCAATTTTTCGGTTTTTAGGCCATTTTTTCAAACTTTTTCGATTTCTTCAAAAACTACCCATCCAGATTTGGGATTAAGGGTTTAATCGATTGACCAGGTTGTAGAAAACTCCCCTGCCCAAGCGGCTGGTCCTTAATTTGTCTCGGGGAAGAGCTGTACATTTAGGAAAAGTTTTTTTAAAAGTTTTTTGGCATTGGAACAAAGATTCAATATACTTAGTGTGTATTTTTTAGACAATGGAATCCGCTATGCTTACGTTTTCTCGATTTTGCTTGGTGCTATTGGCTTTGTGTTGAGTTTTTTTGTATGGTTCGAAGAAGTCCAACGAGAAGTTGCACGAGTTATGCTAGTTCTCTTTAATCAGGTCGGTTTGTTCCAGAACGTTTTTGTGATGTCAGTTATAGTCAACATATTATAGTCATATTTGCAATGCTTGGACAAAATTTAATTAAGCTTCTCTTTCTTTTTTTTTGCGTAGGAAGGGCGCTATCGAATTGAGAAACCTGAAATTTTAAAACAATTTTAAAATAATCAATATTAAAATAATCAAACAGGTCTCTCCAGCTTTCAGCTGGGCCCCTAGTGAAGACTTTTGTATAGTTCTTGGTGATATTTTTGGCTTGCGTTTTTTTTACCAGGAAAAAGTCTTAAAATGCTCTTATAACTACAGATGTGCATTGATACATATTAATGCATTTATGAATGCACTTAGGTAAGTATGCTATTTTTAAATTCATTAGAAATTCAATTGCTGAAAATTATGTAGTTAGCACTCTCGAAAGATGAACCTGGAAGTGGCGCGAAAAATTGTGAACTACTCCTAGTTTCGAAAGTTAAATTTAATTAATAGATTTTCCAGCGGAAGAAAAATTTCACCTAAAACTCCAGTTTTACCAAATTGAGTTAAATTTATCAAAATTGCACCTATCAAAAATTGTTTTTTATATTCAAAGAGCTTTAAGGTTATATATCTTTCTTTAAAGCTCGAAAATTGACTGTCTTGCTTTCATGACTCTTTTCCAACTGTGAGTTGTTATGTTTCAACTTAGTGGCTTTCCTTTGCTGGCTGCTTGCCATGTTTGTGCGGTATCACCTGTGTTTAAATTTTTTTTACTGAATTTGCGCCATTCGTTTCATTTTGTTTCAGCCAATGTCAAGCAGCATTTTAGAGTAATTTTTGTTACAATTGAGAAAGACTATTTGAGGAGTTTTGTTCATCAAAAGTTAAGTTTTTATTCGTAAGTGTTAGATCTCCGAAAACCTAGTTCGTTTGTTTTTCGTTTCTAACGCAAGTGTTGCTAAGCTCTTGTTTCCTTTTATTAAAGCAGTTTTCGTTACAAATATTTCTGAACCGCTTCGAGGAAAAAGTATTGATAGTTCCTGAGAAGAGAGCCGTAGGAAAACTTTTATTTGAATAGAAAAAGGAAATTAACATTTTGACAGAATTGAACATTGGAAATCACTTTAATTTTATATCAAACTATTGTTAATGCTACTGCTGGTAGCAACTAAAAGGAAAATAAAACGTTTAATTTTATTTTTTTCGTTGATGAAGGGCAGAGATTGCTAAAACATCTGCAGTCAATCTTTTTGTTTGAATTTTTTGACACTCGCTGTCTTCAGTTTCACTGTCGACCAGTGTGAAAGAAATAAATGATGAGGAAAAATACAATTTGTAGACCGCAACCATATCCCATCAGAATAAACATGTCATTCCTGAAGTCATCTTCGTCCATGTCAGCTATGACCGGGTACTGCGTTTTAATGCTCACTGCAGCAAGGTCGTTTTTATCACCCCATTGGTTGTACATGAAACTTCGGAACGAATAGCTGTGAAATGCAATGTAATGAGCCCAGATCCACCATGGAGGAATTGCATCTTTTGGAACCATGAAGCCTTCCGCCAACATGAACATCCCGAAGAATCCAGCTCCCAGCGCAATTCCGATTATGTAATGAGGAGTCGAGGCGCTGAGAACATGCATCAAGGATTCAGCGCAGACTAACGAGAGAAATAAGTTCACGAAAAACCCCCAGAAACCGTCCAGGTCAGTCATGAAGATCACCATCACTGTCGAAAGGACAGTAATCAGAAGGATTCCAGGTAACGCGCTCACGAAGTTAGAAAATACAAACGGAAATACGTCAACCAGTCCGTTCGATCGTTCGCGGACGAATACCGGTTGCTGCAGCATAAAGAACGGCAGGACCGCAACAGACATAAATACCAAGAACGCCTGGCAGTAAAAGAGCAGCGGGATTAGCATGTCTTCGGTTATGTCCTCGTTCGTCTTCAAGTACATCGTTCCCATCATCAAGCATAACATGAAGTACATGACGATTCGAACCCAGTATATTCCAGGGTTGATCACACTGTTGATCATGTTGCGTTTGGTGAGAAACAGGAACTGAACGAGCCAGTTTGCCTGGAATTTGCGAATCTCTGTTGACGATGAGTCCGCCTTACCACTCGCTTTGTCCTTTTCAATTCCTAGATGTAAAAAAGTTCCTTAAAATTGTGACTTGTAAATTGTGTAAAGTTGTAATATCGGTGAGTGTTATAAAAGTGTATCAGCAAAGTGGCGGACCAAAGTTGGACGACATTAAATGATGCGAAGATCGAAAAAGAACAAGGCCTAAAATAGTACAAAGAATTTCAGTCTAATTTAATCACCTTCTTTGAGTTGCTTCATCTGCTGTCCATCCTTGAATGACTTGACGATTGCTTCCACATCGCCGTGGCCCTCGAAGTCAGTGTTGATAACGGTCAAGAAGTAGTCTGCCGGGTTAGAGTACTAAACAATCAAATTTCATCGTTGATTTGATGGCTAATGAACGAAAGGAAGTTTCAATTAATTGGATCGTCTGTGTTCGTTTGTTTTTTTTTTCACGAAAAAGTCTTAGAATTTATGCACGCTCAAGATATTTTGGTGATTCGATTTCTATAAATTCTTTTCAAGCTCATTTACTACTGTCAAAATTGAATTGTATAAGAATTGCTAAGAAAAACAGTTTTGCATTAGCTAATTTCCTAATGAATTTCAAATCATTTCCGAGTGCTGATAGTCAAGTCTCATTTTGAAAAAAACATTCATTTGGTGAGCGGATGACGAAGAAGTTTTTTTCTTAATTTTCAGCAATCTTTATCAAGTTTTTGTACCTGTATTCTATGCTTTAAGAAAAATATGTCAGTCAGATTTTTGAAAAACATTTTGTTCAATTTTGAGAAAGCAACTGATGACTAATTTTTTCAGCAAAATTTCTTGTTAAAATTTTTCTTAAGCCGTTGCTGTTCATTTTTGGTGGTATCATGGCCTGTAATTTTTGTTCTCGTGGTGTTCTTGTGGTGTTCTATCTATAAACAATATTTGAAAATTTTTATAAATGCCATTACAAATGATAAAATATTTCAAATGATTCATCTTTCGCAAAATATCAATTTTTGCTTGCTCATTTTTATCGTAAAATGTTTATTTGCGCCCAAAATAGTACCTGATTTTTCTATGGAAAAAATGCGTATGATACAACTTAAAACGAATTTGTATATCAGTGGCGGATTTAGGGGGGGGGGGGGGGGGGGCGGTCCCCCTTTGATGAACTATTTTGAGATATCCAATTTTGGCTGACGGACCCTAAAATTTTTCTAAGGGCGCCTTTGGCGCCAATCTATACTAACTTTGAGGGGGGAGCGCGCGCCGAAAATACGCGATTTTTTTATTAAAAATTTCCAAAAAGTGCATGAAAACGCCTTTTTGGCCTGTTTTTTTTTAATCAAAAATTTTGCCTACGGCGCAAAAATTTTGGCCTAAAAAAGAGTTTTAGTGCTTTGAAGAGCTCAGAAAACCAATTTGCTCGACCTAAAAAAAGTCGACAAAATTTCGAAATTTTTTTGAAAATCCGCCCCCCCCCCCCCTCGAGAAAATCCTAGATCCGCCCCTGTATGATACGCAACTTTTTGGTCAAATAAAGTTTTTCTTTGATGCCTAAGTTGCTCTCATGTAACTAAAACTGCCACCCATTTGAATTGTTTGAGTTTTAAACCATTTGAGGATAATTTTCGTTAAAAAAATTTAATTGAAAAAATGCTTATCATACAATTTTCTTCCATGAGAATTGTATGAAAAACAATTTTCCCATTGACTCAATTTATTACGCTTGCGATTATAAAAATGTATGATAGGCGTTTTGGTTTTAGGGACGTCAACCCGGGGCGCCTTGTAACGGTGTCAAAATTTTCTGTCGAAGAACAAATTCTACTGAAATAAAACTCCTAAAATAGCGGTTCATTTTATCTTCGTTTAAAAAAGTTTCTGCGGAGCTTTCTTTTGCCTCTTAGTACATCAAAACCCTGCCACAATATCTTTTCACTCATCAGAAGATTCGTAGAAAGGTTTTTGACGAAAGATGCCAACCCGAAAGAGAATCAACTTTAACCATTTTACAAATTTAAAATTTATTTCGGATGAAGCCTCATTTTTTTCTTCCACTGCTGGGAAAGTAGAACAGGGTAGATAAAACCTTGTGTTTTCTTTCCCCCTTCCTAACTCTGCAAGCGGACAAAAAATTGAAGTTCATTCCGAAAAACTAGCAGAATAAAAAATGATTTTTTCTACGAAATTTTGACTCAACTAACTCTTGTTGCACCTAGCTGGGTAATATGTTACATATTTCTTTGAATTTTGAAAGAATATTTTTCAGTTGGCCTTGGCCAAATGTGTCTCTCGGAAGCTTGAAGCGGCGTATTTGCCTCTTTTTGCACAATAGAGGAAATAGCGTCTTAAACTGAAGTTTTTCTGCTGTAAATTTCATGCTTATATTCTAGACTTCTACCTTAGTCGTCAGATTTAGTTTTTTCCTATTTGCGAAGGTTTGAAAATTGATTTACCGCCTCGGGGTTTAAATTATCTCTGTTGTCGCATTGTGTGCAAGTTGCATAGCAACCAAATTTTTTCATTGATATTTTCACTGAAGCTATTTTCTTTCATAACTCGTAGTTTTGATTGAACAACAATTAAATGTTTTGGAGCTTTTACATGCAGTTTTAATTATGAACTAACTAAAGGATACTTTTGTCGCAGCAATTGATAAGATATTCAGACTTTCAAGATTGCTCTTATAATTGATAGAAATTTATTGAAAGGCTTAGCTATAAGTACACTGAAATTGTTTTATAAAGTTCAAAATTGAGAAAAATATTCAACGATTGATTGAACAAAGACTTGTATAGAATAAATTATTCAAATGAAATGCTAGTTTGGACTGGGGAGGGAAACGCATGAAGTAGCTTCGAGAAATCAACTTTACAAAACTTAGTTTAACTAGTTTTTTTCCGACCGCCAATTTTGAGGAAAGGAAATTTGGGCTCAATAGATTCGTGAAGAGATTGAAGATGAATTAACATAGCCCAGTTTTTTTTGTTACAAACTCAGTTAAAAATGAAAATTATGTTAAAAATGCAGTTGCAGCTGTCTCTCACTGAGAGTATAACAATGATTGTACTTTTAATTACAAAATCTCTAACCCCCTTCTGGTATAAATGGATAGTAATTATTGGAGTGAGATTGACCTGTGGACACTTGTAGTTGAGACCTGAGAAGAATGCGACTGCCTGGTCTGCCTTTCCGTAGTAGATACACTCTCCCCGCGAGAGGAGACAGAGCAGGTCGAACGACTGGAACACCTCGGAGGACGGCTGGTGGATCGAATAGATGATGGTGCGACCTGAAGTAGGAGGCACGATAACATGATAAGCAGGGCCACTCAATTCTCATTTCATTAACTTAGCATTCCACTTGCTCACTATCTGGCTGAACAGTTTTTTGAGTCCATTAGAAAACCTTAAGTTTTATCAAATGTTGTTTTTGCTAAAGAAGTGTTGTTTTTGCTAAAGAAGTGATAAGCTTTGTGTACCTATGTGTATCAGGAGTTGAGCTAATTGTGTTATTTGCAATAACATGCCTTGTTTTGTGAGTGACTGTATATGTCCCATGACGCCCATAGTGGCCGCACTGTCCAGTCCACTAGTGGGCTCATCCAGCAGCAGAATGTATGGGTTGGAAATGAGTGACAGTGCCACACTTAGTCTCTTCATCTGACCCCCACTGATGCCCTTGAATAAGTTCCCACCCACTCTGGCGTCCATGCAGCCGCTGATGCCCATCTCAGCCGCCAACTCGTCAACCTGAACAGAAAACACCAACTGATACACATGTATTTTCCATCAACAAGTCTTAACAAAAAGATTCTATTCAAAACTGCTCGTTTTCACGTTGGAACTCAACTCTTCTTTCATTTCAGCAATGAAAAACCGTGTTGAAAAAATTAACAGACCTAAAAAGTACCATTTTTTGACCAAAAAAGATGCTCATGGTCATCGATATTTCCTAAATTGAATTGATTGTTTTGACACGGTTCTAGGTCTTGAAATGAGTTGAAAACTGATTTGCGTCTTCAAGATGAACAGTTAATTAACTCCGTTCAGATTGGTCAGAATGGCAATTTAGATTTGTCAGTTATCATAACCACACAAGCAAAACAAAATGTTCGAGACTTTTTTGACACTTCCATTGGAGCCTATAGAGAGTTGCAAAAAGTTTGGACAGACAGAATTAATTAAAAAGAGCAACTGTCTAGACATCAACCGAAATTAAAACTGAAATAAACTTAACGTCGAAAGTTTCACTCAAAGCAGAGTTTCGCTCAAAACCTATAACATCGGCGGGCAATTGCATCCAAAGCGTCGAATAGTAAACCTTGAAACAGGAAAAATATTGCTCTGGGTGGCTAATGTTTTTCTGCGATCATCTTAACTTCCGTTTGTTTTTTTTTGAGCATTTTGAATTTGGTCTGACAAAAAATTCAATGTTGTTCGGCTTCAGATTTTGCATGCTAAAAAGCGTCGATAAGCACTGATTGCTCATTTTAATTAATTCTGTCTGTCCGAACTTTTTGCTACTAATTATACTTATCAGTTGAAAAAGAGTTAATTAACTAGTCAAATAGTAGTGAGAATCAATTGAATCTTCTGATGAAAACGTCAGTTGATATTTCTTTTAATTCTATTATTTCCCAGCTTTTGATTTGTTTCGACCCTTTTTTGTTTGCGACCCTCTTTGGCAATCTTGACTTGTCTGACTTCAATTATCCATGCGCTACTGACCTTCTGTTTTTTGTCTTTTCCCTTCATGAAGAAAGGGTAGCTGAGACTGGCTGCGAATGAGATGGTCTCCCTCACGGTGAAGATGTCCATCAGCGAGTCACTCTGAGCCACGTAGGAGGAGATATTGCGGAACTTGGACTAGAATGCAAACACGTGAAATCAAATAAGTTCACTCATGAACCCAATGACAATTAATAAAGTTATCATAATCACAAAAAATTTATTACTTCTGTTTTTTTTTTGTAACTGATTTTGTTTATTATTGTCGAAATTACGCATATTGTAAGATAATACACTAATGACGGTATGATTTACTATTTTTAATAATCTGTAGTAGCTCATTCTTCGGGGGGTTAAAAAAATTTTGGCAAAAGGATGGATTAGTTGGTAAGCGAGTCTGAGTCTGAGTCTGAGATATAAATGGCACGCACAAGCTGCTTGACATTTTTTCAGTTCGTTTTTTTACTGAGCAGTCATAAAATATTTCAAAATTCATTTTTGGTGCCAATATGTACTCAGTCTAAGAGAGAGCGCGCTCCGAACAGCAATTTTCTTGCAAGCATTTTATGTTCAAAGCACAGAAGAAAAAGTGTCCATAAAAGCTATTTTGGCACATGATTTACTTAAAAATTGCCCTTGCAATTGTTAAGTAGGTTTAGTTGTCGTATTGCGACCAATCAGCTTGCAGCAAAATTTGAATTTTAAATACAATGCTCTAGTGCTAATTTACCGCTTTTTTTACAGTGGTTTTAATTCTTTAGTAGATACCAAAGAGAAAGCGATTGTTAAGTAGATCCTTGGCCTGTTCTATCAATAGATCTGCAATTCAGATTATTCTGGCGAACTACCGTTTTTGGTGTTTTGAAGAGAATTCTGGTCAAAATTTCATGTCAAAACTGAAAACCGATGTCTCATTTGCTGAAAACTTTGACCCGGCCGTACCTCTGTTTTTTCCAACTTATAATAAATAACATTTTTGAAATAACAAGAAAACTTGCCATGAGCAGCTATAGTTGTTCCGACTTTCGAAAAAAACGGAATATTTATGCTTGGCGTGTTTTTGCTTGGTGTAGTCAATTTTCGGCGATCCAATTTATAGTTTTTAACAAGAAAAATTTATACCCCATATGAGATATCGACTCCCTAAAATCAAATTTAAAAAGATTTTTTTTTACTTGAGATCATTTTTTGCTAAGCTTTGGGAGTTTGAAAGTTGCCGATTTGGCCATTCTCAAAACGCCAATTATTCATGCGTAGCCAAGTATACCACTCAATAAAATCGTTCCAAATTGAATTGAGGCTAGCTAATTGGTGGCATTAATTTTCACACTTGATCTTTGATATTGTCTAAATTTTATAGTGTTTCAATGTTTTTCCCCAAAAGTTATTACATAATTATTTAAAGGGCATCGGAACTTTCAAGGTTTTGCCCTGATATCCGATCATTCTTGTTTTGCTTACTGATCGTTTGTTGTTTAACCATTTTTCAAATTTACGTGTCATTGTTAATTTCTTCATTAATTGAAAACCTTTTAACCCTTTTGATTGACAGAGCAATTTGAATATCAAGTCCTGATTCAAACTAACCCGACACAACGATCAAAAAATGGAATGTCAAAAAAAAGTTTTCGCAAACTGGTCAAGATATTACAAAGAATGAAGAAAATAAAGTTGCTCAGAATTTCACCAAAAAACTATTGGCAATTTTTTTTCGAAAATTTGCTGTGAAAATTTTTCCCAAACATAAGTCATTTTGGACTTTTTTAGTTAATCAAGAATTACGCTGAGACTACCGAGTTAATTGATAAGGAATTTATATCAAAACAAGCCTCTTACACATCCGGGCAAAGTTGTAGAAGAGCAAATCTTCAAAAACTGTATAAGAGAATATATTTTTTAGTTGATAGCCAAAAAATGTCATTTTCACAACATAAAAAATCGAAATATTTGGCTTCAAACAAATTTCAAATGTTAAACGCAAATTTTTGAAAGTTTTGAATTTTTGAATATTCTTCTAATACATTGTAGTGCTGTGTAGGAGACTTGTTTTAAATAACTTTCTCGTCAATTTACTCGGCAGTCTCAGCGTAATTCTTGATTACCTAAAAAAGCCAAGATGACCTATTTTCGGGGGAAAATTTTGGCATTTTTTTGTTCCTTCACTTTTTCTCTAATCTTAATCCAATTTGAGAAAAAAGTCTTTAAAATTTCCTATTTTGTTATCTTTGACCGGATAATTTAAGTCAACACTGTATTTTTAATTGAGAAAACTTTGGTAGTATATAAACCAGCCGAAGTATAAATCAGCCAATGTATCAACCAGCCAAAAACTTAAATGTTATATTAGTTATGTAACAGTTACGTAAAAATTACGAAAGTTATGCAAACTTCATTGATGTTTCAGCTGGCTTATAAACTCCGCGCAGTTTCGGTTGATGTATAATTCGGGTGGTTTACCTTCTCTCAAAAATTTTGGCCAATGATTTATTATAGAATGCACGAACTCTTCGAACTGTCCGTCCTTTATAAAACCAAACGATAAACTTCAGGTGGTATATAAACCAGCCGAATTATCACTCAGCCGAAAATACGTCAGTGGTATATAATAGTAATGTAACAGTTATGTAACTTATAAAATTTATGCAAATTTCATTCAGATGATGTAACTTTTTGACTGCTGGTTTCATTCTGCGCATTTTTTTGGTTGGTTTATACTTCGGCTGGTTTATTCACACTCAAAATTCAAGCGATGAAGCTATCGTTTCAGCGGTGTTGAAGTCACGCCCTTCCGAATCAAACTGATCAAAATACAATTTGACCGAAAAAAGTGTGCTCAACCATTCGACCAAAAGCTATGTGCTACTCGACCTCAACCATTCATGCTCATCACCAAACAAAGATTTTTTCGAAAACATAAATCTAAACGGAACACTAAATAATTGACTGGATTGTGAGTGAATGAGTTCGACTTGAGTTCAGCAAAAAATCAAGGTCAAAGGCAAAAAAATATCAGGCCCGAATTCGATCATTAAAAATAAGCTAATAACGCTATTAAGAAGTTGGGTTTTAATGGGCTCAATTGATCTGGAAGTGAAAACCTGGCAGATTTAACAAACAAGTTTAAGGGTTTTTCGTTTATACCCCCTCCCCTAAATGATGAAAACTCAAATTGAAAATTTTTTTTATAAAAAAAGTTGGAGTAAAACTACTAGAAAATGCATGATAATAAAGCGGGACTGATCAGAAAGACGCATTTTGTCTTCATTTTTCCCCATAATTAGCCATTTTTGGCAGGATATTTTTTATTCCATCTGAAAGGTATGGATTTTCTGAGCTCAAATTTGAAAAGATAAATTACTTCTGCTCACGTTTTTGCAAAGTTATGGGGGTTTAGATTGCCATTTTCTCAATTTGAAACGAAAAACGTGCGATATATTTCGTGCTATAAACAAGTAAGCGGCGACTTTAACAGGCTGCGAAACTGTTCCAAATTGAATTTAGGCATGCTATTTGGTCTAATTACTACTTTGATACATGCAAAAAATCTCATTTTGTACTCTACGTAGCGTGTGGTGGATGATTCTTAACAAAAATCTCAATTTTTCAATTTTTTCATGCTTTTTTGTGAAAATTTCAATTTTTGAAATCAAACACTACTCCATAGACCTTTAAAGGCAGTCGGAACATTAAGGCTTCGCCCTGATACGAGCAGTCTTGTTACATTTAGTTTTTTCTTGTTATTAATGCTCCATAAACCTTAAGAGGCAGTCGGAACCTTCAGGCAGTCGGAACCGCCGTTTGAAAAGTTTTGTTTAATCTCGAAGCAAAACCGAATTGAGTTGAAATTCATATAACCCACGGCAACAACCTTCCCCCTTTCAAGAAATTGGGGAGATTGTGAAGTAGATTAAGTTAGCCGAATTTTCGACCAATCAGAAAGCAGCAAAACTAATTTGTGTTCTCAATAGAAAGCTCTAGAGCAAACTTAATGTTTTAATTTTAGAAGTGGACTTTAGTATATATTAGAAGGGGGATTGTTAAGTAGATCCTTCTTCCTGTTTGTGAATCTCCTGGTTGATCTCATGTTGCGGGACCATATTTTAGCCTGTAAATCGACAATTTTTGCATTTATAGAGGGAGAATTTTGTCAATAGCTGCTTTAATAATAATTGCTAATAAAACTGCGACGGTCTTTGACCGGTTTTGAAACAACGCTGCATTTTAAAAATAAAAATGTGTAAATCGACAATTTTTGTATTTATAGAGGGAGAATGCGTTAAGTTTCGAGTAAGCTATTTGTTTCAATTAAATTTACCAGATAATAATGTAAATAAAGGCCATTGATTTTTACCGAGCTTCGTGGTTTGCCGTTGACGTAAATCTGTCCCGAAATTGCATTTGAAATCTTGATTCTATCAGCCAGAATGTTCAGAAGAGTCGTTTTTCCGCAACCAGAAGGACCCATGACTGCCAGTGCACTGCCAGGGCTCAACATGCCATGAAGGTCAGAAATGAGGGCTTTCTGGGCACCTTTTGATTTGACAGTGTAGGTCAAACTTTCCCAGGCCAGGGAAAAATTATGGTCAGTTTTCGCTTGTGGACTTGTCGGACTCATTTCGATCGCAACCATTGCAGTTGAAGTTTATGTACAAAAACAGCGTATAACAACTTTTGTAGGTGCAAAGATAAAACCAACGCTAACTCTGTTTAGCTGAATTGGTACAAACACTGATTATCAAGTTAAATCGAAAGTTTGAAAGTGCACAAAAATTAATTTCTTTTTTGTCAGGAATTTTCGCGTTTTGGTGCAAAACGTGTTTGCTGCTTGCGTAAATATATAGTTAAATAAGCAAGAACTTTAAATTTTAGCAATTTGAGTCACAAATCATTCAAGCGACTAACTAGAAATCAGTTGACAATTATAAGGCAAACAACAAAAAGTATTGTCTGAAAGATTAGATTGGTAAGATTTAATCTGTCGTGATATGTACTTGAACAGGCAGGTACTCGACAAAAAGTGTAATCAAAGCAGGTTTTTAGTCATGCTTTGGTTTGTTGGTTTGTTTTTGACAAATTTTGTCAATAACTGCTTGAATAATAATTGCTAATAAAACTGCGACGGTCTTTGACCGGTTTTGAAACGCTGCATTTTAAAAATAAAAAAGCAACTCGCAAAAAATATCACAAAAAAACAGTCGAGTTAAAAGCAAAAACCACGTTTTTTCTGTAGCAATGCTGCACCAACACAACATCCTGCCTGAGAAGGAAAGCACACGTTTTAACTCAGTATGGAACAATAAAAATCTTATTTATAACACCAAAAGCTTTGGTTCTGTGTCATATGCTCATTTAGCCGTTCGAAGTTTTTTATTTTCCATTCCCATGAAGATAAACGGAAAAACAAAAGAAGGGAATCAATTGAACGAAAGGAAAGCAGTTTTTAGCATAAATAGTTAAAGGTCCCGATGATACAGTTCAAAAGTTCAACTGCTTGCTTATATTGTCCCATTTTTTCGTAAGATATCAATAAGAAACAACCCGGACAGACCCAAAATGTAGTCTTTCAATTTTCATATACGGAAAAATGTTAACCTTACACTTTTGATGCAATTCCATAGGTACAGAAAATTGCATGAAAGTTCTATGATCAGTGATTTCTCATATATGGAAATTTTATGACAAGCATTTTCCCGTTAACCAAAAAAATTGATTTTCTAAAACTCTATTTCTAAATTTTTTTTTGGATGTGTTCGTCCCCGAACACATGTGACAAAAACCATGGTTTACTCAAAACTAGAGTCACCAAAGGTTTGCCCTTTTGCATTAACAACGCATTGCTTGTTTTGCATTTACAATGCATTGGAAACAACCTGAATTGTGAAGGATTTTTCTTACACAAATAGTGCACTGAAAGCATCAAACTTTAAAACTTTGGCAAAAATTTTCAATGATGATTAGATTTAAAATTCGAATTTTCAAATTATCAGACATTAATCAAGGCATACATAAAACTGCCATACAAAAAAATAGGCGTTTTCCGCTTGTTTGAAAAAAGTTATCCAGAGAAACGGAAAAAAGCCCTATTCTTGGACTACGTTAAGCACACAAAAATAAATTTTGAATCCAAAAATTGTTTTTGAAAAGGTTTATTTGAGAACAAAATTTGATTTGCAGTTGAAAAAAACAAAAATATTTGGAGTAATTTCAAAAATACTTGGAAAATTTGTCTTGTTTTGGCATCAAAGTCGGTGTATCATACTAAAAAAATGTTAATCATACAATTTCCATATAGGGAAATTTTATGATAAAATTACCATAATGGAAACTGTATGATTAGAAATTTTTGACAAAAATTGTTCTGTTTTTTTTTAGTACGATACACCGTTTTTGACGCCAAAACAAGAAAAAAGTTCTTGGAAAATTCAATGACACCATTTTGTATGTATCACCAAAAATGTATGAAAGTTGTATGATTATTATTTTTTTATAGACTCAGCTTATAGAATTATTTGATTAGTATTTTTGGTTTCTTGAGGTAATCCCGGGAAAAGAGCTCGTATCAGGGCGAAGCCTTAAAGGCTCCCACTGGCATGCCAGTCTGCCCGCTTTTCAGAAAATTGAAAATAAAATCGATCATAATGGATTTTCGTGGTCTAAAATATAATCAATATAATCAATTGTCATGTAATGCTCACGCTCAGACAGCAAAATTGGACTCAAAAATGGACTTAAATCTATTTTTTCTGGCGAAATAAACATTATGCACTATAATTCATTTGATATCCATTTTGATCAATCTACCTTGTGGCTATTTTCAGATCCACATGGGATGGTTGTATCCCAAAAATATATATTCGTCCAGAAAGTGCATCGAAAAAGTACTATAATTTTATTGAATATAGGGATTTTTTTAAAACATTTTTGATCGTCAAAAACAAAAGGGTTTTACTTTTTTTTGTACATGTGTAGCACCATAGTATTTGTCCTTCGTAATCAATGAAATTTGATGTATTGCCTGATAATAAATATCCTGCGTAAGATATTTCTAATACTGCTAGTGCAAGTGATTGTAGAATTTGTGATCGTCCACCACACCACAAGTGATGGAGTGTTTCTAATTCTGATAGTGGCCATCTTGATAAATTCTGCTTATTGTAAAATCCAATTTCATATCTAAGTGGATGTCATAGTGGATTGCCCCAAAATAGTTATTGTCCATGAGTGATAGTTCTTAAAAACGTGTGCTGCCTTTATCTTGTGGGCAAAGTTTTCTTGTATTTTCCAAAAATGTTATTGGAATGTATGAGTTTTCATCACTAGAACTGTGGTACGTTTGAGTTGGATTAATTATTAGCTTACCCTTTTTCATGTCGAAATCTTTTTCGTATTTGACAAGAATTTCTGAATATTGTGTTTCGATTCCATCGATTTTTTCTATAACGGTTTCTGTTAGATCTTATTTTATTAGTATTTGATTTTTCAAAGAGAATTGATTCAATGAAAAATATTTTTGATGAAGTTTAATCATTTTTGCGTGAACTCTTGCAACTTGAAACGTGGTACATGTGACTTCAGGGAACCAAACGATGGTTGCCTGTGTTCTTGGGGTAGGATCGCAATAACCTTGATCATTCTTAAAATGTAAGCGTACTCCTTGACAAACTAATGTGTCGTCTTTTAAATCTCGTGCTAATTGTACTTTTACTACTTGAGTTTTCCAATCAAATATCATTATTTCTTGATATCCTTTATTTTTTGTGTCTGCTTTACAATCACATGGTTTTTATTTCGATGAGTGTATCCAATTTTTACCGTGTAGGTCTTACGTTAATTGTCCGTGTGCCTCGTGGAACGAACATTCATCGTCTAATTTTATATGACTTTAGTATCTTTCAAGTTCTGCTTGGTGTGCAGAGTCTGGAAAAACCACAAAATTTAACAACTTTTGATTTGTGCCTTTATTTGTGATTAATTTTATCGTTTGAGCCCGTTTTTACAGTCGTCGAGTTTAAAATGTGAAAGTCCTTCAATGTTGCTTTGAAAGAAAGATTCGTGATTAAGTCTATTTTTGTTTCCATTTGAGACTTGGGAACAATGTACTTTGCTCTCTGAAAATGTCACTGTGACTTCATATCGTATTGAGGTTGTAGCTCGGGGTTTTGAATAAAACGTCGCTACTATATTTGTTGTTTCTACTTCTTAGAGTTCTGATTCGCATTGATTTACTTGGTTTATGGCGTGTTTTTGTTGTGTTTTTTGTTCACCTTCTTCACAGTCATAAGTTGTAACTAATGTGGTCCTGTTCGAGGGGAGAGATTTTGATGGGATGTTGGTTCTAAAAGAACAAGGGTAGAGATGGTGTGTACGAAAAAAATAATTAGAAGATACCTGTGTAGGATATAAACGAATATGATTTATAGAATGATATGTATCCAAGTATCTTTTTTTGTATATCTATTTTATTTATAGAAGAATTCTGTTGTGATAATAGGGGGAGGGAAAAGATTGAGCTGCTATATTTGGTGGAGCTAGGGGTAGAGGGTGATGTACTAATTTGTTTAGTTTTACCGATATTTCAAAATTAATTGTTACATTGTTTTGTGTAAGGATCTGTATATTGTGTTCTTGTATGTTTTTGTGAATATCGTGGCTTTTTTTTATAACCTGTTGAGTGCCCAATTATGTAATCTGTTGCTATCAAGATATTGACAAAATAAGGGAGGAGGTGCTTCGAAATTATTCCAATCTAATTGTAGAGGATATTGTGGGTTAAGAGTTCTCTATATCTATCATCTAAATTTGCAGGAAAATTTAGTGGAAATGTTGTGGTTGGAACTTGACTTATTGTTGAAGGGGTTGAAGGTAGCGATGAAGTTTCTGGTAGTGACAAAGATGTATCGGATGAGATATCTATAGGGTCATGTATATCTATAGGATTCTGATAGTAAAGCGTGTCTTTCTTCACATGTATAGGGATTTTCTTGAAATTAAACTCGTGTTGTGATTGGGGTTGATTTGTTTGACTAGATGGTGGTGTTGTTGGAAGTTCCTGGGATGTCATAGTCGGTGGGAATTGTTTTGTTGGTTTTTGATTAGAAATTTTGAAATACTTGAATAATTTTTTTTTCAATTGAAGAAAATCTATGTTGTTTATACTAATATTCAATGAAAATGATTAAGAGGATTGTTGCTAGTGCAAAGGTGATTGTTACCTGAAATTTGACAAAAATTACTCAAAGAAGAAGGAGGTTTTTCTTGTTGAATAAATGTCCTAACATTTAGCTAGTTGATGAAATGTCGTACCTGAGGAGGTGGTCAAAGATTTTTGAGAAGCTGAGGTAGATTTTCGTAAGGAAAAGATAAATTACGAAAAAACTGCAAAAATTATGATGAGGAGGAGGAATACTTCAAGGGTGTCTACGATAAAAAATTAACTGAATTGAGAAAAGGTTGTGAAGAAAGAAAAAAATGCTGAAATTATTGTCTTGAGAAGTCGATATGTATGAGAGAGAAGCATTTGAGAAATATGGTAAAAGATTGTTTTGTTATTGAACTCTTTTCTCTTTGTTTGAATCAAAAAGTTTGTTTGTTACATCAGTGGGTTTGTTAATAATCGGACATGGTCCTTTTTGGATTGTTTGTAATTTTTTAGATATTCCTTTTTTGTTACAAAATTTGGTATTAAGACATATGTTCCAATTTTTAAGTTTGTAGCTGGTGTGAATCATGAATCAACTTGTGATTGAATATTTTGTCTTTTTAATAGTTTTTTGGCTGTTTTCTGATAAACTTCTTTGTCTTTTTTATCTCTATTTAAAATTCATTCCGTACGTGTGCCGGAGGCTAATTTTATGATTTGCGGGTGATGAAAATTATCTTCATCGTGCGTATGTAACGGTAAATTACAACAAATTGTTTCTTTAGTAGGTTGGCAATGACCTTGGGTGTTGTTTGAGGAATTTGCTGTGAAATTTATTGTTTTCCGTGGTTTTTGATTGAAAACCAATCCTTAAGGTGATAGTACTAGAGTTGTTGTTATCTGTGAGTTTTAAGCTAAGAGGAATAGTTTCACGTCTGTTGACCATTCGGTATATTTAGTATCATTTCCATTTATGATACATCTGAGGTATTCTTGTAGTGAACGTTTCATACCTTCGACTAAATCAGTAGTCCATGGGAAATGAGACGTTCGGTGTTCATGTTCAATGTTATAAAGATGGCATAATGGGATGATTTCATTATTTATGATTTCAGTGCCATTATCTGGGACAAGCTGT